CCCACAATCTGGAGCTCGGACATCTCAGCTGGAAACCAATGCCTTGGTGTCTGTGAGAGTCTCAGCTTGAGCTTTGAATAAAGACCTTCATGTGTTTTTGCAACAGACTCTACTCCTGGTGGTTATTTGGGGGATTGTGAATCAGGCATAGCAGTGACTATATTTTAATTTCAAAAATAATTGTAAAAATTACCGAGGGTATTGAAGAGACACATCTTTGAGTACATTTGTAGAGTTGTTTCCAGAGAGTATTAGCTGAGGGAAGTGAGGGGGAAGAAAACAAGGAAACAAATACTGGGGCTGGAGAGACAGCTCAGAGGTTAAGAGCACTGACTGCTCTTGCAAGCCCATGGTGGCTCATAACCATCTATAATGAGATCTGGTGCCCTGGCCTGCTGGTATACATGCATGCAGAATACTGTATAAATAATAAATAAACAAATCTTTAAAAAAACAGAAAAAGAAAATGGGGGTTTCAAACATGCCATTTCTAGTGGTTTTGAAAGTGCCTCGTGCTGATTCTCAAGGGCCTGGCCACTGTCCCCCAGCTTTGCCCTGCATAATAAAATGGCTAATCAGGTGAATGGTAATGTGGTTCAATTAATAGAAGAGGAAGAACCAATGGATACTTCCAGTGTACTCACACAGAACACTACAAGACATTGATAGAGGCAGGCCTCCCACAGAAGGTTGCAGAAAAGACTTGATGAAAAATTTCAACCAAGGTTGGTAGCTTATGTCAATTTTGATGAAAGAGCAATTGATGCTTTCAAGGAATTTAATTAAGAAGGAGCTCTCTCTGTACTACAGCATGTTCAGAAGAAAAGTGCATTTTTATGTGGAGTTATGCAGACTTACAGGCAAAGAGAGAAACAAGGCAACAAGGTGCAAGAGTCCACAAAAGGGTCCAATGAAGGAAAGATTAAGGCCTTGCCTGAGAGGACTGGTTATACTCTGGATGTAACTACAAGACAGAGGAAGTATGGTGGTTCACCACCAGAGTGTGTACTCAGGTGTGCAGCCTGGTATTGGAACAGAGGTCTTTGTAGGAAAAATTCCAAGAAACTTACATGAGGATGAGTTGGTGCCCTTTTTTGAGAAGACTGATCCTTTCTGGGATCTATACCTCATGGTAGATCCACTCTCTGGTTAGAACAGAGGATATGTATTTAACACCTTCTGTGGAAAGGAAGCTGCCCAAGAAGCAGTTAAACTGTGTGACAGCTGTAAGATTTGCCCTGGTAAATACCTGGGAGTTTGCATCTCTGTGGCAAACAACAGACTTTTTGCTGGATCCATTCCAAAGAATAAGAGTAAAGAAAACATTCTGGAAGAGTTCAGTTAAGTCACATAGAGTTTGGTGGACATTATTATCTATCATCAACTCGACAACAAAAAGAAAAATCGGGGGTTATGCTTCTTTGAATATGATGATCACAAGACAGCAGCACAATCGAAATGAGTGGAAAAGTAAAAGTGTGGGGAAATGTAGTTACAGAGGAATGGGCTGACCCCGTGGAAAAACGAGATCCAGAAGTCATGGCTAAGGTGAAAGTTTTATTTGTGAGAAACTTGGCTACTACAGTGAGAGAAGAAATAGTAGAAAAGTCATTTTCTGAATTTGGAAAACTGGAGAGAGTGAAGAAGTTCATTGATTTTGAAGATAGAGGAACTGCTATTAAGGTTATGGATGAAATGAATGGTAAAAGAAATAGAAGGGGAAGGAATTGAAATTGTCTTACCTAAACCACCAGAGAAGAAGTTGAAAGAGCGCCAAACTGTTACACTGGTCTCCAGAAGCACTGCGCATGAAGATTATTATTATCACTCTCTTCCCTGAATGCCACCTCCAATGAGAGATTGAGCTCGTGGTGGAAGGACAGGTGGATATGGCTACCCTCCAGATTATTATGATTATGAAGACTACTATGATGATTACTATGGTTATGGTTATCACAACTATTGTGAAAGCTATTAAGATCCCTACTATGGCTATCATGATGGCTTTACAGTAAGAGGAAGAGGAGACAGAAGGGGAGGGCAAGGTGCTCCACCATCACCAAGGGGGCGGGTAGCACCACCTCCAAGAGGTGGAGCTGGCTATTCCCAGAAGGGGCCACCTTTGGGACCACCAATTGTCTTAAGGAGTGGCAGAAGGGTTCCTGCACAACAACAGAGAGGCTGTAGCCCTCATGGCATTTGGGGCAATCAAGAGGGCAATGTAGTAGTCAAGGAAAAGACAGATGGGTACAACCAGGCTGTTCCAAACACCGTCAGACCAGCAGCCAACAAAACTGGGGTTCCCAACCCATCTCTCAGCAGCCCCTTCAGCAAGATGGTGACTACTCTGGTAGCTTTGGTTACAATAATGACAACCAAGAATTTTTTTAAGGATATTTATGGGCAGCAGTAGAAATAGACATGTGAGGGTTTGAAAACTGATACTGGCAAGATACGATTAGCTCTAGAGCTTCATTCTTCAAAACAAAATTGGTGTAATAGTTTCGTCTTTAAGTAGCAGTTTGCTGCCATTTGTATTCAGCTGAAGAAGTCACTATTGTGCAGATACTCAAGGCTTTTATATTTTTCTTCTTTTCTGAATGCTGTTGGACATTATTGGGCTTGCAGAGTTTCCTTATTCTGGGGTTACAATGCTTTTTTATCATTCTAGGCTTCATTTTAGCTTCAGAACAAACTGTTTTTTTAAATTATTCTTTATTTTTTATTTTTATTATTAGCTACATTTTGTTAACTCTGTATCCCAGCTGTATCCCCCTCCCTCATTCCCTCCCAATCCCAACCTCACTCCCTCATCTCCTCCCTGCCCCTTTCCAAGGCCACTGATAGGAGAACAAACTGTTAAATCATGATTTTGCAGAAACTTTGGTTTAGACAGTTCTATTTTTTGGATTTGGAATAGTTTACAAAGGAGTATGAAATATGCTGTAAAGAGAAGTAAAAGCTAGTGCTTTGTCTTAGTAGTTTTGAGAAATTAAAGCAAACAGATTTAAGTTTCCTTGTATTGAAAATAACCTATGACTGTATATGTTGCATTTCTAGAAGCAGGTTAACCGTTTTTAAGTTGTTATAACTTCACACCTTTTTGAAATCTGCCCTACACAATTTGTTTGGCTTAAATGTCAAAGCCATGACAATTTTTTCTTTGATGTGATTGTATTTCCAATTTCTTGTTCATATAAGATTTCAATAAAACTGAAAAATTTATTCAAAACATTATATATGTTTTAAAAATAGAAAACAAATAGAATCTGACTTTTGAATTGTAAACTGAAAAGTAGTGAAACTGATCTAGTGGGTTGTAAATGTAGCTCAGTGGTACAGTACGTGCCTAGCATGTATGAAGTGCTGGATTCAATATCCTGTATTCCCAGATAGCCAAGGAAAAGAGGCCAGGGGCCATTTTTCTTAGAACAATCATAATAGTGTTCTGTTTATGATTCCCACTGTTGAATATAAACCGTTTCATCTCTAGAAAACAAAGCAGAAAAAAAAATTTGGACGATCTGTGATCTTTTCTCCCTTGTAGTCCTTTTGATAAACTCTTACAGCCCACCCATTTTAATCCATTCTTTTCTCAGAAAGTACAGAATCTCTCAGGGAGCAGCTGAGACACCTAAACAGTACAAACAGATTATCTGAATAAAGATTAAAGACATTTAAAAAATGCAAATACATCCAAATTTATCACTCTGTACGAAACTAAAGTCCAAGTGGATCAAAGAACTCAATATAAAACTAGACACACTAAACTTACTCTTAGAAGAAATAGTGGGGAAGAGCCTTGAGCTCATTGGCACAGGAAACAACTTCCTGAACAGAACACCAACAGCACAGGCTCTGAGATCAACAATCAATAAATGAGACCTCATGAAACTGAAAAGCTTCTGTAAAGCCAAGGACACTGTCATCAGAACAAAATGACAGCCTACAGATTGGGAAAAGATATTCACCAACCCTATATCTGACAGACGGCTAATATCCAGAATATATAAAGAACTCAAGAAGTTAAACAGAAACAAATCAAGTAATCCAGTTTAAAAATGGGGTACAGACTGTCAAAGCACATGCTGAGCCTGATGGCCAACTGTCGGGCAGAGTGAATGGAATTTTATGTAAGAAGTGGGAAATAGTAAGAGCTGGAGGGGACAGGAACTCCACAAGGAGAGCAACAGAACAAGATAATTTGAACACAGGGAACTTCCCAGAGACTCATACTCCAACCAAGGAGATAACCTAGAACCCCTGCACAGATGTAGCCCATGGCAGTTCAGTGTCCAAGTGGGTTACATAGTAATGGGAAGAGGGACTGCCTCTGACATAATCTGATTGGCCTGCTCTTTGATCACCTCCCCCTGAGGGGGGAGCAGCCTTACCAGGCCACAGTAGAGGACAATGCAGCCACTTTTGATGAGAACTTATAGACTAAGATCAGAAAGGAGAGGAGAACCTCCCCTATTAGTGGACTTGGGGAGTGGCATGCATGCAGAAAGGGGAGGGAGGGTGGGGTCGGGATGGGAGAGGGAGGGGCTTATGGGGGGATACAAAATGAATAAAGTGTAATTAATAAAAATTAAAAAAAAAGAAAATGAAAAAAATAAAAATAAAATAAAAATGGGGTACAGAACTAAGCAGAAAATTCTCAATACAGGAATATCAAATGGCAGAGAAACACTTACAGAAATGTTCAACATCCTTAGTCATCAGGGAAATGCAAATCAAAACGACCCTGAGATTTCACCTTACACCCATCAGAATGGCTAAGGTCAAAAACTCTAGTGACAATACATGCTAGAGAGGATGTGCAGAAAGGGGAACCATCCTCCATTGCTGGTGGGAATGTAAACTTCTACAACCACTTTGGAAATCAATCTGGAGTTTTCTCAGACAATTAGAAATAGTGCTTCCTCAAGATCCATCTGTAACACTCCTAAGACATATATCCAAAAGATGCTCAAGTATACAACAAAGGCATTTGCTCAACCATGTTTGTAGCAGCTTTATTTGTAATAGCTGGAATCTGGAAACAACACAGATGTCCCTCAACTGAGGAATGGATACAGAAATTGTGGTACATTTACACAATGGAATACAACTCCGCCATTAAAAACAAGGAAATCATGAAATTTGCAGGCAAATTTGCAGGTGGGAACTAGAAAAGATCATCCCTAGTCAGGTTTCCCAGAAGCAGAAAGACACATGGTATATAGTCACTTATAAGTGAATATTAGACATATAATATAGGATAAACATACTAAAATCTGTATACCAAAAGAAGCTAAGCAAGAAGGAGGACCCTGGGTTAGATGCTCAATCCTCATTCAGAAAGGAATACAAGATAGACGACGGAAGAGGGAGAAAAACAGTGAACAGGACAAGAGTGTACCACAGAGGGCCTCTGAAAGATTCTACTGTGCAGGGTATCAAAGCAGATGCTGAGACTCATAGCCAAACTTTGGGCAGAATACAGGGAATCTTAAGAAAGAAGGGGGAGATGAAAGACCTGGAGGGAAAAGAAGCTCCACAAGGAGAGCAACAGAACTGAAAACAAAACAAAACAAAAAAATCCTGGGCACAGGGGTCTTTTCTGAGACTGATACTCCAACCAAGGACCATGTGTGGAGATAACCTTGAACCCTTGCACAGATGTAGCCTGTGGCAGCTCAGTGTCCAAGCAGGTTCCCTAGTGAGGGGAACAGGGGCTGTCTCTGATATGAACTCAGTGGTTGGCTCTTTTATCACCTCTTCCCACCCCACCCCACCCCAAGGGTTAAGCAGCCTTGCAAGGCCACAGAGGAAGACAATGCAACCAGTCCTGATGAGACCTGATAGGCTAGGGTCAGATGGAAGGGGAGGAGGACTTCCCCTATCAGTGGACTTGGGGAGGGGCATGGGAGGAGATGAGGGAGGGAGTGTGGGATTGGGAAGGAATGAGGGAGGGGGCTACAGCTGGGATACAAAGTTAATAAACTAATTTATAAATAAATAAATAAACTTAAAAGAGAGAAAACAAATAAGAACAAATGCCAGCAAGGCTATGGATAAAATAGGACCTTTATATACTGTTATTTGGAAGGTAATGTGGTCCAGGAGTATGAAAAGCAATATGGATGTTCTCAAAAAATAAGATCTACTATAAAAAAATTATTTTAAATTATGTGTATGTGTGCACATGAATTCTGGAGCTTCAGAGGCCAGAAGAGGGAGAGGGAGCCCATGAAGCTGTAGTTACAGGGGCAGATGTGAACTCCTGACCCAGCTTGTGTGCTTAGGAACCTGGTCCTCACAAAAGCACTAAGTGCTCTTAACATGTGGGTCATCTCTCCAGCTTCACCTATGAATGATGTTTTTCATTTTCATTTATTTAGTGAGTTTGTTCCCACATTTGCCCGAACCACGGCACATGACTTAAATTTAGAATTGACAATTGCATGTGTCAGTTCTCTATATCCACCATATGAGGGGTCAAACTCGGGTCATTAAGTTTGGCCAAAGACACTTTTTTCCTGCTCAGGCATCTTGTTGGCCCTAATGCTCAGATACTTTGTATCTTCAATGTGTATTAGTTCTAGAAAGGATTTTCTGGTACTCTCCTTTTCTAGAGAAGCCTCACCCCCAACCCCCGCTGGATTTACTGAGACAGGGTCTGGATAAGTAACCCGGACTGGCCCCGGACTCACTATGTTTGGTCAGACAAGACATCCTCTTCCCTACAATTTCTGAATGCTGAGATTATAAGAATGTGACACCATCACTGGCTTTTTGGAGTTTGGGGATTTTATTATTTTTAGTAGTGGAAACGGAACCCAAGGCTTCAAACTCAGATTTTGGTGTTCTTCTTCTGTGAGGGGGTGGAAGTAGAGTGCCAGGGCATGTGTGTGGGAGATCAGAGAACAACTTGCAAGGAATCAGGCATCTACTTTCACCATGTGTGTCCCAGGGATGGAAATCAGATAGTTTGGTTTGGCATTTTACCGTATCATCAATCTGCTTTTGGCTTCCTTAACGTAACTTTCCCCCTGTTCCAACAGGCTAAGAATTCTGTATTTTCCCACACCTCCACAGGATCATCAATGTTCAGCAATGTCATAGGGGACTCTGCTGCCCCCTAGTGTGCGCGCTGAGTAGAGGCAGGTCAATGCTGTTTACTCTGGTAACCAAGCAGAGGCTTCCAGGTTTTCCTACGGAGAAGACTCCCTGGTCTTTTCTTCAGCATTTGGTCATTAGGCAAATGAAGCTTTACTCACAACCAGATTTATGAAAACTGATATCTCTGACGTCTTTCCCTTTTGCCCACTTTAATGCCATGGAGGCATCCCTGAGAGACTCAAGGCTTAGTATCTACAGAATGCCTTTCAACTCAGGAAATTAGGAGATTCACATCACAGGAGTAAATGAAGGAAGTAACAAAGAGCTGTTTTGGTTTCATAATTAAAACTTACCTGGATCTTTTTTCTGTGGAATGCCATTTTCTGTGTTCACCCTACCCCCTACTCTCTGATGCTCAGTTCAGTTCATTTGATTAGTCTAAACAATGCTAATTAAAGGAAAAGCAGAAGAGTACTTGCTAATACCCACCCTGTCCCATTGGAATTCCAGACCCAGGAAGAAGAAAGGAAAGGCATGGCAGTGCACCGAGGAGGAAAACTTAGTGGGTTCATGGAATCTCTCTGAGCCTCCCAACTTATTTACTCAGGAGGTGGCCATCCATTATAAAGCGAACTGTGGTGAGCCATGCCACCAACTGATGGGAGCAGATCATAGAGCCACTGAGCCATTTCTTTGAATTTTATTGAAAACTGACATGGACATTAGAAAGATAATGAGCTAAACAGTGCTGGCTCTGGGAAGTAGCTCATGGAAAATGAAAGCCCCAGAGGGGAAGTGACTGGTCACACCTTGGAGCAAAAAGAACCACAAAGAAAGGAAAACAAACACAGATTCTGGAAAACATGCAAAGAGGCTCTCTCGGGGAGACAGAATGGCAGAATGTTGGTGTTTGTGGGATGAATACGTGGCAATGAGCACATTCACATGGTATTCATATGTTAAGTAAAGCCAATGAATTCAAGGCAGATGTACCGACATCAAAGCTCTCCTTCCAGATACCAAGTTGAGCAGAAGCCTCTTGTAAAACCTCCAAAGCAACTTGGAAGTTTGTGTCGAGAAGCTTTGCTCTCACTAAGCTCAAAACCCCCTCATGTCTTTCTCTAGCTGAATGTTAATTTCTCCATTTCTCCCTCCTTGCTGGGGTCTGCAGACAGCCTGTGAAAGCCAAAGACGCAAATGTCACTCAACTTTCTTGTCCATATTCAGAATCAGTTTCATAGTGCTTGAAGACAGTCAGAACCAGAGAAGTGTTTAAAAAAAAATAAAACGAACAAACATCAAACTCAAAACCGTGTGAACAGTACTTCTACACCCACAGCTGAGGTCTCCTGCCCCAGTCACTTAACACTTGGGTAAGTCTTGTCGTTGTCTCTCTGAGGTTACATTTGGTCCATTTCCAGCTCTGATGATTCTTTTCCTGCCTTGTGAGTTTAGGACAAGACAGTTCCATGTAAAACACCATGTGAGTCAGAAGAGAGCTTCTTGCCTGGACACAGGGACACATGTACACTTGTTGAGTGTGGTGTATATGTGCGCAGTTGCAGGGGAGGGGAACTGGTTGGTTTCTTGCTTGAGACAATATGAAGCCCTAACTAACTCTTCTAGAATGGCAGTCTTCTCCTTTAGACTTAGTACAGCTGCTGAAGACAAGGTTAAAAAAAGCTGGAGAGGGAGAGAGAAAGAGAGAGAAAACACGAAATTAGCCAAAGAGAAAGGACATTCAAAGTGACATGTAAGGCGAGTGGGCAGTTGAAGGTAGCACAGATTAAATGCTGAGAAGACAGGAACAGTTCATGGATGGGCCATCACCATGGGGAAATCTGTGGAGAAGATTTGAAGAATACCACACACCGGTTTAATGCGTCTTGTCTTGCTTTAATTAAAAAAAAAATAAGCACATATCAACAGCCAAATGTAAATACGAAATGACTTTTCTTAAAAGAATCCAAACTAAGTATAAAGAAAGCAGAGTCATTGGCTTAAAAGAAATGAAGGGTGTGTGTGTTATGTGTGTGTTGTGTGTGTTGTGTGTGTGTGTGTGTGTGTGTACTTCAGGAAAGCCATTCCATTCTAGTCTGGGAAAAGAAAAGCACAAAAGCACAAACCATTTCTAATGACTGGTTTTTGTTTCATTAGAAGTAAACAGAGCCCTTAGGGTGTTTTGTTTTTTTTTTTTTTTTTTTAAATAGTAACAACTGTACTACTTAAAAAAGTCTTTCAAGTGAAGAAAAACAAAACCTTCCCGTTTACAGTTAGAAGAGAGATAAAACTTCTTGTCATCTCAATTCTTTCAATAGATTTGATTGCTTTTGCTATTCACCAAAGTTCTCTCATTACAAGATGCCACACAGTGAACCAGTGAAATCTATACTGGCCTTGGCCTGGTCCAGACTTAGAGGAAAGCTAACTGGTTATCCAGCATCATGGCAGCTGGCTTAGGGCCTTCTCTTCACCTGTGTCTACCCACCCCCTCCTATTTCTCTGTGTGAAAACCCTCAAGACTAATCTTGTCACCAAGAATATATATAAACACTTGATCCCTTGGGGAAATGGATTGGGAACCCAAAATCATGAAATTTTGCCTAGGCTTTGCCAAGAAATATCAGTGGGGCCTTGGATAAGTCTCTTTATTTCTCTACTTGTCTATTTCCTTCAACAGCATGAGGGTTTATATCAGCCATGATGACCAAAAAGCTCCCCACTTTATGTACAAGTCCTTCCTGCTTTTGGAAGATTGTGTAACTCAAATACTTGTGAAATATTTTGAGATCCTCAAGCCTCAAGTAGTTGAATTTATATGCAAATGAAAATGAAAGACCTCGTTTAAAAATTGCAAATACTTCTTCAGAAAGATGATGATGCCGGGTTGGCACTCTGAGAAGGTGGATTAAGACCCCTAAAGCAGCTGGGTGTGCTGGTGTTTGCCTTTAACCCCAGCACTCCAGAAATACAAGCAGACAAAAGTGAATTTGAGGCCAGCCTGGTCTACATTGTGATTTTAAGACCAGCTAGGGCTACCAAACAAAAAACCCTCAGGACTCCATGGCTACAAATAAGAGGCCTTTCTCTAGGAGACCCAGACTGTCTTACTCAGTAGCCTGACTCCTCCAACTATGGACTTTTTCTGGGATATCGGAGGATTTTGCTTTGGGGTTTTGTGCTCTTGGTGGCAGTGGTTTGTTTTGCTTTACCTCTAGGCATAGCGTTTCCTGAAATTTTCCACTTCCAATTGGTTTTCCCCGAAGAACTAGCTCATGCTTTCCCATTGTCACCCTGAACTTGCCTCTGGTCATCAGCTAGTACATATCAAAATGGCCTTCTCTCTTTGCCAACAAGAAAAGAGAAAGTGCATACATTGACTTGCTTGCTTTTAACTAGTTCTGCTTTGGGTTTAGTCTTGGCTTCAGGGTATTAACTATGATTGTAGAGAATGGCCCCTGCCCTTTTACAACAGTTCAGAAGGCCTGCAAACTTATTATTACCTTGTGTGTTTTTTAGAGGTAGTGATCAGACAACCACCATTAAAACATGAAAAAAGAAGAATGTCATGGTCCATGCCAGTGGGATTGGGAGGCAGAAGCAAGTTGCAGAACTCAAATGAAAAAAAAAAACAAAAAACAAAAAAAAAACAAAAAAACAACAACAAAAAACAAAACAAAACAAAAAAAATGCTTGAAGTACCAGAGGAAGGGTAGAGAGCCCAGCTGTCTGGCACCATTAAAAAAACAAAAGAGAGAGACTTCGCTTAAAAGGCTAAGTGGAGTCCAGTCCAGCTGTAGCAGGGCATACTATTCAGTACACAGCCATGGATTACTGCAAAGGAAGGGCAGAGAGACGCCATATTAGCCACAGATCACTGCTAGGTCGCCTCTAGCTCTTGCTCTGTCACTAGCCAAACACCAAAAGCCATACTGTGCCTCATAGCCCTGACAGTGGAAAGCTCTGTACTTTCCAAAATCCACATTCAGGTGGGACCCATTATAAAACATGAAACCCTTAGACCAAAGTAAATGACCTTTCAAGTATAGAGCACCTATTTTTTTCCCCCCAGCTAATGGTCTTCTCTTGTAAGTGGCATCTGTGACACTTATTACATTCATTACCCATCATTACATTCATCAGGTAGATTAGAATACTCATCCAGGCAACCCCAAGCCTAGATTCTTTGACCAGCTCACCAGTTTAGAAACTAAGATTATTATTCTTGCTATTCCACCTCATTGGAGTGGGAAAAAAAGGCCAATGGCATGCTGAAACCCCCAAGGAGAATTTTCTAAGTCTATTATTCAAGACTCTAGGCTGGTAAAAACATTCTGGTTTATTTTACCTTCTGTATCTGTCGGGTACCCAGAATTAGAGGGGGGAAATAAATACTATCTTCCCCAGCTATCTACCAGCAGTTGTCTCTTGTATAGGAAGAGCTTAATGTGAATAAATGTGTGGTTGGCTTTTAATACAGATTATATAATGTGACTTTGAGATGGGATGAAGATGGTAGAAGGCATCACCAGCAATTCTTTTAGAGCCTATATTATAAGGTATGGCTCCTGGGATTGCAGGAGTTGGAGAACAATGCTATTCACTAAGGCTGCAGGAGTCTAAGCTCTGAGCCCTGAGTGGTGCTTATCCAGCCACAGTGGATGAAAGTACCTCAAGGAAACAAGTATCAATTCAAGTATCAGGTATCAAAGCAAGTATCAAATTCAAATGGGAAGCTGGTTCATGAAAAGTAGCAAATAGCAACCTGTAAACATGTCACAGTCTGGCAAAGGTGGGAATGGGGTTGTGGGGGCACATATGGCTGGGGGTTCTAGGAGAAGGACTGAGGTATGGAATATATCTTTAAGCCATGTGATTCCTGGCTTCTTGGTGAGAGGCCAGACATCATCATTTGACTCTCAGGCTTCTATAAACATTTGCAGAAAGGGGAGGGCATGGGTTGTATGCCCCCTAAACATGTTAAGGGGGGACATAAAGAGAGGGAGGCCCAGCTCTGTTGCACAGGAAAGGGCGCATCTACAGGAAGCCCAAACTGAAAATAAAAAGAGAGGGGGGTGTTAATAAATGGATGGATAAATGTACAATAAAAAGAAAGAAATTAAGTCATAACTAATAGATAAAATAGAATAACTATGTTAGATGGTCTTAAAGTCTTATGCACTGGCTCCTGTGAACATGCTTTCTCAAATGAATGGCAGCAGTAGTGGCGTTAAGAAGGACAATAAAGGTCAAAACCCACACAAACCATTTTTAAAATTTGTTCTTCACAAACAACCTCCCAATACATACACATCCAGACAACCTTGTCTGTAAATACAAAGTCTCTAGTGACCTCAGGCCAGCAGATACAGCACAGGCTCACAGCCCCCTGTCCCACAGGATAAGAAGAAGCTGAGGTTTCAACTTTGGCATCCCTCAGAGCAAGCCAGCTGGCTAACTGTTACTCTAATCCAATACCTGTTTGCCAAGTGTGTGATGGGGTGGGGTTCCAACCAGTGACCTGTAAACCTGAACTACAGAAGCCCATCACAGGTTTGTGTTCATGTAACAGTTTGACCTGTCTGCTGCTGGGATTTCATTCCTATGCTATAAGTAGGCCAAGTTGTTTTGGTCTCTGTGTCACATATGAGGAGACTGACATGCCTGTGGTCATAAAGAAAGTATCATCACATCTAGGATAAGAGTTATCTACTTAGGACTCTCCTATCACTGGGAAAGTCTTATTGTCTCAGAGAATTTCTTGGCTCTAAATGTATCTACTTCCTTTTTTTATGACCTGAAGAAATATTTTTTTAATGGTTTAAATATGGTATGTGCTCCAAAGACTCACATATTGAAGGCTCCCTAAGAGGTTTTAAGGAAATAATTAGACTCTGAGGACTTTGATTTAGCAGAGAAATCCCTTGAAGGACTCATAATATGAGGGCTTTCCTGGAAGGCAGGCCTGTTGGAAGAAGTAGGTCACTGGAGCAAGGCCTGTAATGCTCTACCTTGTCCCTGCCTCTTTTCTCTGCTTCCTGGTTGACACAAAGTGAGCAATGCTACTCCAGTCCACCCCTCCACCATGATGCTCTGCCAGAGCCCATGTTAGCCACATCAGTGAGGCCAAGTGACCAGGAACAGAACTAAACTTCCCTTCCTTCACTTGATTTTCTCTAGTACTTTTGGAAAAAAAAAATGGATATCCATTCTATTAAATGAGGGCTATTTGGTGGGAGTGGAGTTAGCAGAACATCCATATATGAGAGTGTGCAATCAATTTTCCACAGTGAATGTGTCTGCTCTCCCACATACATAGGCCTCAGTCAGCCTGCATTCCAGGTGGCTTTACTAATTAAACCACCAAGTGAAGGTTTTGGAAAGGAGACACATAACCTTTGCTGCTTTCAGAACCTTGACAGCTAAGGCTCTCTGAGACCACCTGATCTAGAACTGCTTTTGCAGTCTACTACAGAGAATCTTGTCAAGAAAAGACAACATACTTGGGGTTGAAATTGGCTGCTCTGTCTGTTTATCACTTTTTTCTTACTTAGAAGGAATGACTTTAATTATAGTTTTCCAGGGTTCATCTTAGGGATGGCCACTAACAAACATGTATTCAGGGAAATCTGAATAAAATTGTGTCAAATAGGTATGCAATGAAATCTGAATTAGCCAAAATTGAATTCCCCAGGATATATTTGTCCTGCATTCATTGAAAATGATAGAATAAAGAAACACCAAATGATATGAGCTCCTGTTATGTGTCTGACACTTGATTAGGCACCTGAACTATGGTGGTGAATAGATATTCTAGGAATTTAGTCTTCTTAAATAGAAAGCTGCTATTTGATGCCTGTGTCCTAGCAGGGGCTCCAGGACTTGCTTTTAAACCAGGCAGTGAATCATTTTCATTGTTCTTTTAGGATGCATTTGTTTGGCTCAGTTTCCTGGGCTTTCTGTTTCAGAAGCCTGGTTTTGCTTGGAAGGAGTATGCTTTTGCCAGCTGCCTGAAGCCTCTAGTGCAATAGTTGCAGCCATCGGTTTGGTGACTAACAGCAGGCTCTCCATATAAACCACTGCATAGATAACCAGGGGACATCTTCACAGTACTTTAGTCTTCAATGTAAACAAACCCAAAGTTAGAAAGGCAATTAATGAGATCTCTGGGGTACTTCTAACACCAACTAGACATTTTATGTTAGCAAATTATTTTTAATTTTTAGGTATGATAATGATTACTGTGTTTGCTTTTAAACATCATTATCTCCTAGAAATGTGTACTATGTATTTTATACATGTGAAATGAGCTTTTGCCTTACAATAATACAACATATCTGGGGTAATTGAGGAAGCAGCATTAGCTGTATGTCAATGATTCTTTGATGACTGGGCTCCAAGAATGTGGGGCTGAATTGTACTATTATCTCTTCTCTTCTCTTATCTAGGTTTGAAAGTTTCCATGGTAGAGTTTTAAAAATAAATCAATCTAAGTGTGCTATTAAAAACATTTATGTTCAATTTCCCATCACTACCTGATTTGGTGGAATAGACAAATGGTGCTTAATCACTGCTTTCATCCATCCTATAATGACTGCTTTCACTCTGTTTAAAAGCTGTGTGATAGCAGGGACTGTTCTATTTACTTCTGTAGTTCTCAGGGATCCTTATTAAGAATTACCTGCTTATCTCTTTAGCAGAGGTTTCCATGAATCTTGCACTTACAGAATTAATTTTTAAAAGTTGTATATGTGTGGACATGTGTGTGTGAGTGTGTGTGTATGTGTGTGTGTGTGAGAGAGAGAGAGAGAGAGAGTGAGTGCAGGTAACCGCAAAGAGCAGAAGAGGAGAAGAGGTTGTAAGATACCCTGGACTTAGAGCTACAGGCAGTTGTTGGGCTGCCTAATATATATGGTTGCTGGCACGAAAACTCAGCTCCTTTGGAAGAGCAGCAAGTGTTCTTAACCACCTGAACCATTTCTCCAGATCCAGAATTGATTTCTTTTTTGCTTTGGTTTTCCAAGACAGGGTTTCTCTGTGTAGCCTTGGCTCTCCTGGACTCTCCTTGTAGACCAGGCTGGCCTCGAACTTACAGAGACTCACCTGCCTCTTCCTCCCAGAGTGTTGGGGTAAGAGGTGTGTAACACCATGCCTAGCTCAGAATTGAATTTTTAAAAATTAATTTATTAATGTTGTTTGTGGGCACACATGCCACGGAGTGGTATGATCATAGGAAAAGTTTTGGAGTTGGTTCTAGCTTTCCACCATTATATGGGTTCTAGGGATTGAACTCAGGCTAATAGGCTTAAATGGCATTCTGTGAAAAGTAAATGCTGCCACTGAAGCCTGCTGGGCCACCTCACCAGCCCTCACAGAACAAAGTGTAAGGATTTTCCTATAGTATTTGAGGTCTCTTTATTGTTTTCCACCTTGATTATATTTTGGGGGTGGGGCATACAACCAAAAGAAACTGGAGAACTTGAATCCCTCAGTTAAGAAGCTAGAGGGAGACATAGAAGCAATTTCTCATTGCACATTCCTAAATCTGGTGTGTGTGTGTGTGTGTGTGTGTGTGTGTGTGTGTGTGTGTGTGTGTATACTGACTGTGACATTGCAGGTAGGCACTATGAACTCAGCAGTTTCCTGCTCCATCTCAAATCATTTTGAAAGTCATGATTATGGTTCTTTATGAAAAAGATATATCTGAACTGAAACCTTACATGTTGGTCACATAATCTATCTACTTAGGCTGCACAGCTGTTCTAGCAGCAAAGGCCTGCAAATGCTCTCTCTCGAACACACACCTCCAATCAGGCAAGCAGGCATTCCACATGAGGATGCTCAATTTCAAGCCACTTCAGATTATGTCTTCATACTGTAAGTCTTGGGAGGAAACTAGCAGGTCCAATGAAGCCATTTCTTTTATGGTTAGCTCTGTGCATCACAAGTGTGGGGTTTGGGGAAGTATGTTCTAGAAGCCACTGCCAGTTCTATTTAGAGTTAATAAAGCTTACCAGGACCCTGGGTCTCATGCAGCATGCAGCAAACAGCAGAGTTAACTGTAAAACAGTAAGAGCTGATGAAGATGGAGTGAGCAATGTGGAGAAATACAATATCATGAACTGGTACAAATATTTAAATGTTAGAGGTAAAAAAAAAAAAGAATAGGAAAAACAGGGAAAGGAATGGGGAGGGTGGATTGGTAGACACCCCTGAAACACTGCTGTTCTTTCTTAGTCTTCTTAGGGGCATCCAGAGGAAATTCTGAATCTAGAAGTTGAACAGATCCAACCACAATCTGTCTAACTACCCTAATCTCTGCCCTCCCCAAATCATCACCAGCAAAACCATCATGGGAGCAGAGTAGAAGGTTGATGCCACATTTCCCAGAAGCTAACCAGTTGCTTCACAGAGATGCATAATGAGCTCACATCTGCGGCCACGCACACACATTAGACTATGGATGGGGACAGACTATTGTGCTGGCTCTGATTGCTAATGTAAGGTTCCACATTCCAGCAAGGTTTTCAACCATCTCGGAAATGGAAAAGGGCACTGTCCCCAACCCAGATATTTCTGAAGAGTGGGAAAAGTTGTGTCACTATCTAGAGTCTTCTGTATGGGATTACAGGAATTCAGTCAGTCTTGGGGAAAGTCTGGTCTGGAAGGAATTTTCACTGAACACCTTGAATAGAGACTATGCAGTAACATTTCTCAACCTGTGGGTCATGACTTCCTGGGAAGGTCAACCAACTCTTTTACAGGGGTCCCCTAAGACCATCAGAAAACACAGATATTTACAACTCATAACAGCCACAAAATTACAGTTGTTAATTCGAAACAGAAATAACTTTATGGTTCAGGTTACCACAACATGAGGAACCACATTAGGAAGGTTCTTGCATGCAGCATCAGTGCAGCCTGAACAAAGCAGGTGATCTTCCAATCTTAGACAATTCTAGGGACTGAGTAGACAAGAATTACAGGCTGATTGAAGGTATAGGTTATAGATGGCAAAAAAGCTGAGTATTTTCTGATCTTTAAAATAGGAATAACAGGGCCATGGATGCAGCTCAGGGGTTCTGCTTAACACCTGCAGGGCCCGGGGTTCCCCTGTACCACTCTCCCCACAAAAAGATGATGACAATAATAATTTTAAAAATAAAAATATGAATCATTTTCTGCTAGTATAACTAATATACCATCAATAATAAATTAATGGATGGTGGATTCAAAAACATTTTCCATCTAGCTAGTTGAACCTTAGTAACAACAACAAAAAAAGTCATTGAATTTGGTATGTAGGTTTTTGTTTGGTGGTTTTTGTTTTTTCAAGAAAGGTTTTCTCAGTGTAGCCCTGGTTGTCTTGGACTCGCTTTGTAGACCAGGCTGGCCACCACTACCCAGCAATATGTAGTTTTAAGGTTCTATTCTGGAAAAAAAAAATCTCTGGACCAAGTTGGTGAAAATGTTCAAGTTACATATTAGATAGTCAAACTGGGTATGAGATCGCAAAACTCAGTGCCTTGAAATCGTAAATAGTTTACATTTGTGGTGTGATTCCTAAGTGAGAAGCCGGGCACAAAGGCAAAAACATACTTCTTTCTTCTGGGAAGCATCTAGTGGCCGACTCAAACTGGTGGCCAAAAATAGAAGGTTATAGCCATCGTCATCTCTGGGACCCTAAGGATCTTTTAGTAAGGGTATTGTTAAATACTCCATCTTGGAGCACTCCAAATCCTACTGTACAAACAACTATAAGAGCATAAGGGAACCTCTGGATGTTTTCTTGCCAGAAACATTTTCCTCTTCTCTGGCTCTGAAATGAGGAATGAGTAATCTCTGCAAGCAGACACTGGGTTAGGGTCAGGACTATCAACTCACCAAAAATTTGGAGAAACAAAATGGTTTTAGGAAATGGGCTATTCAGAGGACACTGGTTTCTGAAGACTCCTTGGTAAGTTCTTAGTACTCCAGGCTGGGCATAGCTAAGCAGCCAGAAAGATGCATGGCAAAGGAATGGGAGATGAGAAACAGAGCACAGCCTTCAGTGGTAGCATTTACCTTTCACAGGCTGCAGCTATTGAGTAAGGGTTACATTGTAGGCCCCTCCCTTCAGATGTAGTAGGACCTGTAAGCTGCATGATATTAAACATCCAGGACAGTGTTTTTCAACCTTCCTAATGCTGTAACCCTTTAACATAATTCCTCATGTTGTGTTGATCCTCAACTATAAGATTATTTTGTTGATGCTTCATAACTATAATATTGCTACTGTTCTGAACCATAATGTAAATATCTGATATGCAGGATATCTGATATGCAACCCCTGGGAAAGGGTTATCAACCCAAAAGGGGCGCGACCCAAAGGTTGAGAACCACTGTTCTAGGGTCTGGGCCAGTGCCTAGAGTTTCTCCTAAAAAAATTCCTGTGTTTCTTTCACTCTCCTGGTCTGCCCATACTTTTTGTTCCTCTCCTTATCCTTCTACAGCTCTCACAGTTTGTTTCCTACTTCCTACCATTTGCCAGGGGTTTGCAGAACTCTCTCAGATGGGACAAATAGAAAAGCTACACTTCTGGAAACACTATTCTCCTCCTTTCAGCAACTCAAACTTGGGTGCCATGGGGACAGTGAACACTACATGAGTGTAACTGCCAGTCTGCAGTTTACACATGCCCATCAATCCCCTTGGCCTCTAGGTCTTGCCACGATGGAGGGGTGGGAATGAGTAGGAAAAAAAAAAAGATCACACACACACACACACACACACACACACACACACACACACACACACAC